TATGCCAAAGTGTTGCTTGATATGGAAGCAGACATACTGAAGGTAACAAAGTGTTTTGTAATGAGAAACCGCACCCGTCAGATAATTATCTATCATCATTAATATCATCATGAAGACAGAAAAGAAAAGAAACAATCAAAACAAAGGAAATCAAATGCACTAATTAATTGTAAATAAAAATGAATTTATTCAATCAATTAAAAAAATGAACTAATTAAAAGGAAAAACAAAACAAAATGAATGGAATGGAATGAAAACAAAACAAAACAAAAATAACCAAGCCAAATCAAACCAAACTAACAATATAACAATAATACTTCCAAGACCAAGGATCTGCAAACTGCTAAAAAAAAGCCATTTATTGGAAATGACAATCTACTAGTATTGCAATGAACCAGAAAAAAATCCTCCCTTTTACAATGTACCTTGATCCATATGTCAAGCATTTCAATTCCATTGCTTTCTGGATTAAATTCCTTCTTRAATTCCAAGTCAAAGTACAGTTTACAGGCTGAGCCTTGAATATATAATAATTTACAAATCACCTTTCTGATAAGTAATAATAACAATTCCTAATAATCTCACTAATAAATCATTTCTAATAACACTAKTCACTTTAAAGTAAAATACTTTTATTGTCAAAGGTTTATGTCTGAGGAATACCTTGAGTAATGACTTCATAATAATGCCTTTGATCTGGTTGTAACTTTCTTTAGATAAGAGAGAATATCAAACATACTTTTCAAAGTAAAGCAGATCATGAACTCAAAGAGATGAATGTGTGCTGTCAATCATAGTGAGAAATATGAGGGAGACTTACCTGTAGAATTGCCARAACTGGTCAAATGTGCTCACAAGGTATCTTCTTTTGCCATCTGAATCAATCTCCTCAGAGAATACATGAACATCCTTCATTGGTTAACAAAAACAAGTGAAAATAAGCAAATAAAGTATCGATATATTTAGAAGATACTTTTGGGGAATTGCATAGAATAGGTCTCACACCAATAGTCTCCTTCGCGGTTCCCTGCGCCATCTTGAAAGGTAGCCATGCCTTTGCATTGAAGCGAGACAACCGTTGAGCGTGCAATGATAGATACCTGTGAATAATTGTCTGTAGGTGTGAAAGAAGGTTTCTATCATTGCACACTCAACGGTTGTCTCGCTTGGATGCAAAGACACGGCTACCTTCCAAGACGACGTAGGGAACCGTGAAGGAGACTATTGCTCCCCATCCCTCCCCCTGTTGAATCCTAACACCACTGAACATCTTAATATTTGTAACAAAATACTTGAACAATGTTTGCTTGTTTGAACTAGTGCTGTTGTTCTTCTTGTGTGGTTTTTCACTTTGCTTTTTAAGAAACTAAGATGGTTTTGAATCAAGACAAATGAAATATGTTGGTTGCTGTTTTATTCACAAT